TTTTCTTTGAAGTAGCTGTGGGGAATCTTTCTAGCTGAGGGAAAAATCAGTTCTGCAGTGCAAATTTTCTGTTAATTGACCATTATAAAATGTTTTGTTAGAGAGCTTACCACATTCCTATTCCCAACTTAAATTTCTTTCATGTTTCCTAGAATCATGGAATGCTTTGGGATGGAAGGGACCTTAAAGATCATCCAGTTCCAACCCCCCTGCCATGCAGGGCAGGGACACCTTCCATTAGAACAGGTTGATCAAAGCCCTGTCCAGCTTGGCCTTGAACACTGCCAGGGATGGGGCAACCACAGCTTCTCTGGGCAACCTGTGCCAGTGTCTCACCACCCTCATAGTGAAGAGCTTTTTTTCTTCTAATCTAAATCTATAGAATCATAGAATGGTTTGGGTTCGAATGGATCTTAAGATCATCAAGTTCCAACCTCCCTGCCATGGGCAGGGACTCTTTACACTAGACCTTGTTGCCCAAGGCTCTGTCCAACCTGGCCTTGAAACCTGCCAGGGACATAGCATTTATCACTTCTCTGGGCAACCTGTTCCAGTGCCTCACTACCCTCACAAGAAAGAATTTCTTCCTTATATCTAACCTAAACTTCCCCTGTTTAAGTTTAAACCTGTCACACCTTGTCCTGTCACTACAGCCCCTGATGAAGAATCTCTCTCTGGCATCCTTATAGGCCCCCTTCTTCAGATACTGGAAGGCTGCTATCAGGTCTCCACACAGCCTTCTCCAGGGTGAACATCCCCAGCTTCCTCAGCCTGTCTTCATATGGGAGGTGCCCTGGCCCAGTTATCCTCATGGTCCTCCTCTGGACTTGATCCAATAGCTCCATGTCCTTCTTATGTTGAGGACACCAGAACTGTACACAATACTCCAAGTGAGGTCTCAACAAGAGCAGAGGAGAGGGGCAGGATCACCTCCTTTGACCTGCTGGTCATGCTGCTTCTGATGCAGCTCAGGATGCGGTTGGCTTTCTAGGCTGCAGTTGCACACTGCTGGCTCATTTTCATTTTCTCAAGTACGAACACCTGCAGCTGTTTTGCACCTGCTCAGTTCTATAGCCCTGTCATAGAAGGCTGACAAATTTGTTAGGCATGATTTGCCCTTGATGAAGCCATGTTGGCTGTCACCAACCACCTAGTTGTTTTACATGTGCTTAAGCATAGTTTCCATTTGAATCTGCTCTATGATCCTTCCAGGCACAAAGGTGAGACTGACTGGTCTGTAGCTCCCTGGGTCTTCCATTTCCCCTTGTTGAAAACGGAGGTTATATTTCCCTTTTTCCAGTCATTGGGAACTTCACCTGACTGCCACGAGTTTTTGAATATGATGGACAGTGGCTTACCAACTTCATTCGCCAGCTCCTTCAGGACCCTCGGATGGATTTCATGAGTTCCTATGGACTTCTGCACGTTCAGGTTAAGATGATCTCGAACCTGATCCTCTCCTACAGTGGGCTTAAGGTCTTCATTCTCACAGTCCCTGTGTCTGCCTTCCAAGTGTTGAGTGGCATGGCTAGAGCACTATCCTCTACTCAGTTTCCTTGTACTCTAATCACAATCCATTCCCTATCGTAGTACAGTGCTATGCAGAAAGAGGGTGCCTGCTCCTCTCTGTTATTAAGGAGTCCAAGTGTCAGAGGGGGTTTGCACACATCCAGCATGCATCTGTTGAAAAAGAGAGCAGATCATACAAGCAAGTGGTATTATCATGGCTTACGGTATCATGAAGCATGGTATGGAAAGGATCTCTTGTCCAAACCCCTGCTCAAACCAGGGCCAGTTTCACCGTTAGATCAGTTTTCTGGGGTCTGTGTCCAGTCAAGCTTTGAATGTCTCTGAAGAAGGTACCCCATAAACTCTCTGAGCACTTGTCTGATTGTAGAATCATAGAAACCCAGGCTGGAAAGGACCTCAAGGACCATCTGGTCCACCCTTTCTACACAAAACATGACCCAGACTAGATGTCCCAGCACCCTGTCTAGCTGAATCTTAACAGTGTCCAGTGTTAGGGAATCCACCACTTCCTTGGGGGGATAATTCCAATGGCTGATTGTTCTAATTGTGAAAGATTTTCCTCTTGTACATTAGGCATCTCCCCACAAGTAACTTGCGCCTATCACCCCTTGTCTTTTCCATGTGGCTCCTTGTAAAAATTGCATGGGGAATTTGTTTTCATTTATAACCAGGAAGAATTTCTCTTGGCGCAACTTACACCTCATGGTCTTTTACTGTGCAGTTCTAAGAAGAGTTTTCCTTTACCTTCTCTGTAACTTCCTGGTAATCAGTCAAAGATAGAAATTAAATCTCCTCTTCATCTTACCTTCTTCAGGCTAGCCAAACACAGCTCACTCAGCCTCTGCTTCCGCAGCACCTGTTCCAGCTCTCTGGTCCTCTTGGTGGCTTCCTGCATTTGCTCCAGTACATCCATGTCTTGACCTGGACAGGGTGCTCAGTTGTCTCACAGATGTGGGTAGAGGGGAAGGATCATTTCCCCGGCCCTACTGACTGCACTATCCTGTTGCAGCCTGGAACATGGTCAGCTACTTCCTGTTCATCTTCCACACCAAGACCTCCACAGCCTGTTCTGCAAAGCTGTTTTCTGTCCTGTCTGCCTTGTGTTAGGGTGTTGATTGCCACCTTACTCTGGCATGCCTCGAAGTCGCCTTAACTCCTGATATTAGGCTTTAAGTGATTTAGAGTGTGTAGTCTTAAGTAACTTTATCAAAATGAAGCGAAGTCAAGACTTGGACTCTTTGTGTGTTCACCTAAGAGGACTCACTGTTACCTAAGAGTGAAAAATTTGAGGTCCAATGAATTTGGTGTTGGAGGCTCTTGGCTGTCAGTCAGCCTTGTTTGTGGTCCAAGGATGTGCTTTAATAAGCAGACCCTGGAGAGCATTCATGTGTGAAATGTTCTGTTGTTCATCAAAATACAGGAAACAGGTGTTTTGCCCTAGAAACTGAAGCAAGCTGTTTTCCTTCCTTTTTCTTTTTTTTTCTAGTGCATAAGACATAACATTTCAGCAATCTCATCCCTTTTCATATGCTACAGTGATTTAAAATAACCTTTAAAACAAAAATGAAATCTCATTAGAAAATGCCATCCCAATTTGGAGCAACAGTTCCATAATTTGTTTCTGTGATATTAAATTAAATGTTTTGTAGAGTAGAATGAAGGTAACATTTACTTAAAATCCATGCAGCATTACAAGGTATTATTGCTTGAATTATTCCACATTTTGGAACATGTTTTGTTTTTAATTAATCAAGAGACTCTCAAGCTTTGCTCTTGTTATGCAAATGAAAATAAGCATCTAAAGAATAATTTTAAATGCAAGCTGCTTTACAGTGTGGATGTTTGAAGCATGCTAATCTATTCAGTTTGTTAGCATTAGGTTTCCATGTGCCTCTGCCTCACCTCTAGTTTTTCAAACTGCCAGACCCCTGAATTTTTAAAGAACTGCTACAGTGATGGTCCATCTCACACAGTACACTGGAGTTTGAGTGACTTGGGAAAAGAACATAGGATCAAAACTCATGTGATGCATCTTCCAAAAAAACTGTCCTTGTTTTCAACACCTTTGAAAAGGGCCTCAAATGTGCAGGTGCCTTTGTGCATGGCCACATTCCCTTTGACACTGGTGACCATGCTATGCTTTGAGCACCTTGTTGTGCATTTCACTGAATTGTGGACTCAAAAAACCCCTGATGAATTTGAGTAGTTAGTCACACAAGACTCTGCAAAAATAGGGTTAGATTTGTGGATGAGCGATTAATTAAGCACTATTTAAAGCATTATTTATATTATGTTTTAAGAAGAAACACTGATGATAAGGTTCTGAAATTCAGTAAAGGCTCAGTTGCCCATGGGGATGTGTTGCTGTGTGCTTGCAGACCAGATCAGTAGAGGTGTATTGTAGATCAGTAGAGGCAAATTGTTACTCCTCTCTGCGGGTAACAGCACTAGTGCCTGTGTTGTAGCTGGTGGATGTACAATTGAAACATAGGGGCTAGACTTCAAGAAGTAACTCTCCCTTGGCTGCCAGCCCTCTGGGTAGTGTAACTTCTCCCTAAAGCTTGCCAGAGACTTGCTTACCCTGTTGTTTAGAGGTTGAATGTTTATAATTAATACTTAGTAAAATAGCCATTTCTTTTTTATCTATTTTTTCTTTCTTCAGTGTATTTGTACCTTCAGAGAAAGCTCATAATAAACAATAGTAACACTCTGTGAACAGGGTGTTCCTGATGGAATGAAGCCCAAATTAATTAATTAGGTGTACTCATATTCCAAGGGACTATCGTTATTTCTTCCCTATACAAGATGAATGAATTCTGTTGTGGGGATCTAATTTTCTTTGAGCTTATGCAGTAGGAGTAATTGTATGATACCTGTATTTTAATCAAGAGAAGTGTGTTCTAAAGCGTGTGATGAATTTACCTGCTTGGCATTAAATGCATGTAACTAAAAGAAGGGAGAATGCATTAAACTGCTGTATTGAATTACTGCTTTAAAGGAAAACAGCTGCATGCTCATGGTCTATGTTATACTGGATCCTACATTAGTATGCAAATTAGTCTGTTTATTTCCAAAGCTTTATAAACTATTTTGTATAAGAGACATTTAAATTAAAATCATGCAAATATGAAAACCAGATAAAACCTAAGTACTAGTGGAAACACAACAGAAATATGATTTCTATTATCATATATGATATCACGAATATACAATATATACAAAAGCCTGAGTCAAAAATGAAGACCAAGTTGTGGTAGGTGCTGTGCAGATGAAAAAAACCCCAAAAATCTCTAAAACTGAGTTTTGCTTCAGAAGTCTGAAAATCTAAGTTTGTGGCTTTTAGAGAGCTGTATTGCCTTCATTTTGTTGTTGTCTTGTCTACAATGAGATCCACGCACTTCCCCTTGATTAAACATTGTAGAGTCCACTGAAGCCTGACTTTAGCTTGGTTGTTCTTTCTGTCTTTCCAGATTTGGATGATCCAGTAGTAACAGTCCACCAGAGCATTGGGGAAGCAAAAGAACAGTTTTACTATGAGAGAACAGTGTTTCTCAGGTGTGTTGCCAACTCCAATCCACCCGTTCGGTACAGCTGGCGACGTGGCCAAGAGGTACTGCTGCAAGGGTCTGATAAAGGAGTGGAGATCTATGAGCCCTTCTTTACCCAGGTAAGAATGACAGTACAGGGTTTTTCTTTCCTTAGGCTACTTGCACCAGATTCGTTGGTGGATCTGCCTGTACGTCCCTGCTGGGCTGTGCTGGGGATATGTGGGCGTCCCATCCAGATAACTACACCCCAGGACAGATGCACCCGTATGTTATTGTAAGACATCCTAATATAAAACTTTTTTTTTTTTAATTATGAAATAGAAAATTATGGGAAGATGCACAATGAGTGCTGTCTGCAGGAGCCTTTTTGAAGTCATTTTGCTTGGGAGCTACAAGCCCAAACATCTGGTTTGAATGCAATTTCCTAAGCTTTTCCAGTACAATGCAAAGTGATTCTGCATGGAAGTTACAGGCTAAAAAGCTTTTGAAGAAGACTAAACTCTATGGCAACTCCCTGTGGTTTTGTGGGGTTTTATTTTGTTTGGGGGCTTGTTTGTGGGGTTTTTGTTTGTTTGTTTGTTTTTATTCTGCCTTTCCCTTCTTCGAATATGTTTTTGTTGCAGAATTATAGACTTAAAAAATCAGGTGACAAAAAAAGGGAAGAAATTCTTTTTTACGTCTTCCTGCTCTTGCTCGCAGCCATGAAGGCAGACCAGGCCATCAAAAGAGTGTGTCAGATTAGATCAGATTAATCTATTGTTAGCACATTTGCACAGTCTTGGACTGAAAAGGTGGCATATCCTGTTGTCTGTGGACAAAAGTCTGTGATGGTGTTTGAAAAGAAAAAAAAAATAAACTAAAAAAAAAAGAAATGAATAAGGCAAAAAAACCCATGCTTTGGAAAATCTCAAGCAATAAGGAGTAAAGACAGAAGTGAAAACTGCCTGGTAATTTGGTTCTGATAGGAGAAAGCAACCTGCAACTTTCATAAATAAACTTCAGCTAATGATTTGAAAGCATCTTCATTTTTTCTTTTTATTGTACTTGACAGCTTTATATTGCTACAGTGGCTTGGTATTTTACTGAGAAACGTTTAACCTGGAACACTGCAGAGATGCGAATTAGATTACAGTCATGTTATTGGTCTACCAAATGTGATGAGATTATTTTTAATATAACATGTACTGACCTGGTTTAACAAATCTGTGGCTTGTTTCCTTTCACTCAATCGTGTAAATGGGAAATTTTTTTTAATGTTTTAATTAAAAAATGAGAGACTCTTGGTGTGGAACTTTTTGTTTTGTATCTCAATACAGGAATGCTTCCCTATCATGTAATAAGAACATAACTAATAAAATATGTCACATGAAATTAGATTCAATTTAAATATATGTTTCTAGGTTACTAGGAATATATTTCCTAGAACCCCTGGCTGGGCTGAATTAACAAGTAAATCATATTGTCATGTTTATAATTGAAAGCTTATCCATAACTTTTTTACATTTTTGGGGGGTCAATTTGAATTAGTGTATCTTGTCTGTGTGCCTAGGAGATTTGATATATGTTTATAAAAGGAGAAGATGTTACTGAAATTTCAAGAGTCGTAAATGTCTACTGCATATTTCTACGTAATTGGTGCAGCTTATAAGGTAACAGAGCTGCTGTGAAGAGGGATAGAGGGGATTTGACTTCAGAGCATCATGAGATACATATTTAGGTGTTGTGTATTTTTTGTTGTTGAGTGCTTTGAAGGTGGATTATTAATCTGAAAATCATTTGAAATGTAAAGGGAAACAAATCATGGCACACTTTTTTTTTCAGGAACTTGCCCCAAAAAAGACTAGTTTTTCTTGCCCATAGAAGGCACCTGGGAAACTGGGCATATACAAGTAAATTCTTGAAGTCTGGGCAGATTGTTTTCAATGAATCAGGTAACATCAGCTGCTTATTTTAGCTGCTGTGGGGAAAGAAATTGAACAAACACAAATGTTCACATCTGCAGGAGTGTTTTAAATGCTGAATTTTTCAAAACTAAAATCTTGGTGCTGAATTTTTTCCTAAGAGTCTGCATCATCCTCATTGCACATTGTAATTGCACAGCCTGACTGCAAGATTAAATTTGCTGTATTTACAATAATTATGTAATTAGACATAATTAGACTAATTATCCAAGCCAGTGAGGAAAATATATACATTTTTATATATCTCTGCAATCTGAGGACATGATCCAGAATACCATTGTGAGCTCAGCCCACAAGTTCAACTTGGAGTGTAGAGCTGAGGATTGAATTGAGGAGGTGTAGCTGCCTTGTCTTTCCAGAACTCAACGACTTTGGTAGCTGCGTTTCTGCTAACCTGGATCGGGCCCTTTTCTAGCCCAGCTAAAACTCTTTTTAAAGCAGGATCTCTATCTTTAGGAGCAGCCTTTCAAAGGCAAACACTAAATTGCATGTGCTTAATTTTAATCTCATTATTTCTGTGGGACTGATTTACATATACAAATCACTTCAGTTCCCATGCTCCAAACATCTACCTAGCCTGATTTCAACTACTGTTCCTTTTCTTGTCTGGCTAATATTTTCTCTTCTCTTGTATTGGGGTTTTTTGATAGTTCCATACATGCATTTTCACTAGCTACTAGATTTTTACTTATGTAGGCCTGGGCAGTCAGTGCCTGTGATACTGTGCAAAACTTCAAAATGTTCAAAACTTCAAATTGTGAAAAAAATTCAATATGTTGAGCAACATATTGATTTTTTTTCACAATTTGAAGTTTTGAACATTTTAGTTTTAACAGAACAAATGACAATGATAATTTTCCAAAGCTTGCCCTTTTGATGCTTTGTGAGCCCATTCAGTGTCTCCCAGGGACAGGGTTGTGCCTTAACCTTGTCTCACCATAACACATTTTTAGCTTATCAGTATAAATACAGGCATAGACTTAAAAGAGGGCAGCTGGAGGATGAGATGGAAAGCCTAAGGAATTTTGTTATTTTAATGCTAGAATTCATAATGTGCAAGTATTGGTACATGTAGATTTATTAGATGTTTTTGCAGCCCTCCATGCTATTGTGTTCCCACACCTGACACCCTGTTGTGCTTTACTGTGCTTCCTGTGCATTCTTTCTCCCTGCTCTGCCCCATGACATCTCTGTGTGCTCAGGGTTTTGTATCTAACACTCCTTCTGCCTTTTTCTTACTTCTGTTGCAAATAGTGCTGTAAGAGTTTTCATGCATTTTTCAGCAGCTTACTTTTTCACTTGACTTTCTGCTTCTGACGTGCCCATTTCACATAGTACTGGAAAATGTCATATTTTCCAGTTCTCTTCTGATTGTGTCTGAAGGAACTCCTTCATTACATATCCCATTCAGGTCCCTGCTCCATCATTTACACTGCTGGCTAAAAATAAAATCCATCAGCAACTTATTTTCAAAGGCAAACAGCAGGATTTCTGTACCTTGTGATATTTTTCATCATGCAGATTGTACCTTAAGAAATGTTATCCTGAATAATGCTGTGACATGAAAGACTCTGTCAAACCAATTTTCCCTTCGCTGCTCTTCTTTTGCCTTCAATATATAAATGCAGCTACAGTTTTAGGTTATGCCAGATACCATTCTTTCAGATAATTAAATAAAATATATTATCTGGACCACTTCAACATCTGCTTCTAATTAACCACCTCTGAATCTTCCTCTTGCCTTTTGAAAGCTAGTCTTGGTGTTTCCTGTACCCCTGCTTGCTCCTCTGCCTTGGTCCCTTCCTAATGCTCACTCTTGCACACCCAGGGAGAAACAAAGATCCTGAAGCTGAAGAACCTACGACCTCAGGACTACGCGAATTACAGCTGCATCGCCTCAGTGAGGAATGTCTGCAGCATCCCTGACAAGATGGTGTCCTTCCGACTTTCTAATAAAACAGGTAGGCTTCCAGCAGCAAGCCTCCCTAGTTACTTGATGTCCCCATGGTCTTTTGTTTTGGTGGCGTTCTCATGCTTAAAACATACGTGACAGTCTGCAGACTCACAGCTATGGGAGCTATGCAGGAGCAAGTTAGAGAAGCCATTTTCAGGGGCTTTCTGTTTTGTCACCGAAGTTAGGATTTGAAGAACAGTTTTGATTTATTGCTCTCTATTTATCACTCTCTGGATTTTATACCAGGATTTACATTTTCACCGAATGTCAGGGATATTCATTGCTATGGACAGACTTCATGGTATTCATGGCTTGAATTAGAAGGATAATTCTAACATCTAGTTTCAACCTGCTGCCACAGGCAGGGACACCTTCCACTAGACCAGGTTGCTCAAAGCCCCATCCAAACTGGCTTTGAACACTGCCAGGGATGGGGCAGCCTATATCCCCATTCTTTGGGCAACCTGTGCCAGTGCCTCACCACCCTCATAGTGATATTATTCTACCTAATAGCTAATCTAAATCTACTGTTCAAAGAACATACTGCAGCAAGGTAAGAGGAAGGGGGATCTCAGTTAAGTCTGGACATAGGATAAAAGAAAATACTCAAATACTTTTCTCAGTGCTTTATTGAAAGCTAATTATTTTTGGTCAACAAAATATTTTAGTGAAACCACCTTTTAATATTCTTGCATTGATCTAAACATTTGATTTTATATGATTTTATATGTTCTTACATTGATACTAACATTGATTTCTTATACTGATTTAAGCAAAAATGTTTTCTTTCAGATTTAATTGGTTCAAATGAAAATACTCAAGCAGTTGTGTTGAAATGCATTGTAGGAGGATAAATAGGCACTTAGTCTCTGCCCACGCTGTCTCCATGTTGTGGGATTTCTTGTGCATTTTCTCTTTTCTTTGGACTTGTTCATGACCATGCAAACAGTGGGTTGAACATCTTCCCCTTTCCATGCCTGTATCATTGCTGTGTATCTTGACAGCCTCATGTCAGTGGCTGATAGGGAGAAGGACTTGGGAGTGCTGGTCAATGAGAAAATGAACATGAGCCAGCAGTGTGCGCTTGCAGCCATGAAAGCCAACCGTATCCTGGGCTGCATCAAAAGGAGTGTGACCAGCAGGTCGAAGGAGGTGATTCTGCCCCTGTATTCTGCTCTAGTGAGACCTCACTTGGAGTATTGTATACAGTTCTGGTGTCCTCGACATAAAAAGGACATGGATCTGTTGGAACAAGTCCAGAGGAGGCCATGAGGATGATCAGGGGACTGGAGCACCTCCCATATGAAGATCGGCTGAGAAAGTTGGGTCTGTTCAGCCTGGAGAAGAGAAGGCTGCATGGAGACCTCATAGCAGCCTTCCAGTATCCGAAGGGGGTCTATAGGGATGCTGGGGATGGACTCTTCATTAGGGACTGTAGTGGTAGGAGAAGGGGTAATGGGTTAAAACTTAAACAGTGGAAGTTTAGATTGGATATAAGGAGGAAATTCTTTCCTGTTAGGGTGGTGAGACACTGGAATAGGTTGTCCAGGGAGGTTGTGAATGCTTCATCCCTGGCAGTGTTCAAGGCTAGGTTGGACGAGGCCTTGGGTAATATGGTTTAGAGCGAGGTGTCCCTGCCCATGGCAGGGGGGTTGGAACTTGATGATCTTAAGGTCCTTTCCAACCCTAACTATTCTATGATTCTATGATTCTATGATAGCCAGAACTGCAATTGGGAATGGCTGGTTTCTAGGGGGTGGAAATTACAGATTATTAACTCCTCTTAAGTCTCTGTGCTCAGGATTCACAAAGGATGTGTCTGAAATGGTTTATAAACCTGATGCCAAAGAGCAAAGTTCACAGGTTAGATTTCTAAATAATTAGAAATTTCAGAGAAGTGTTTACTCAAGAGCATTTCTGCAGCAAATATAACATTTGAAGACTTCAGGTTGAATTACATTGGGTTATGCCTTGATAGCGGATGCCTCAGGGCCCTGAAAGCAGGTAGCAAATGAACAGAACAGTTGAGGCATTAACATGCTGAGTGTGTCTAAGATGAACTATGAATTTTATTTCTACTTGCACATTCTGCATTATTTCTGTCCTCACAGCTTTATTCCAAGGAGTTGCCTTCAGCTTTTTCTGAATTTCTGATTTGACAGCAGGGACTTCAAAACTATGGTATATACCATTACTGTACCTAACCCACTGCAATGCAAATTCACAGCTCAGCTTTAAGGCTGCCACTTGCAGTCGGGGAATAACAGTCAGCTCCAGACATATCTGGCAACATGATTTGGAAGTGTTCAATTTCCTCTCATTAATTCTGCCAGGAAAAAACAAAAAATCATAATGTGAAGTTTGTCCCTCATTAGTTGCTCTGATTTCATACCAGAAGAGGCATGAAAGCTTGTCTGCTGTCAAGAGGTGTAGCTGACAGCAGCTGTAGGTGGGAGCAACTTACTTCGTGTCACTGGTAATAACTTGTACACTTTCCTCCGCAGAAACAGAATATGAGAGTTGTTACCAGTCCCATTTGTCAGAGCAATAATTTTGCTGTTGGAGCCGGCAGTCTTTGTCCATGCTGGACCTCATCTGCAACAGAAGTTTGTTTATGTTACAGAAATGGAGGAACATCAAATAGCATAACTATTCCAAATTGAGGATACGTGATCATGATCTAATTTTGCAAAAAGAATGAATTATTTCTGCCTTATAAAAGTCATATTTATTTTGGAGAACGGTATCTTGATTCCTGCGATTAACAGGAATTGCTCTTCTGGAGTAATTCCCAAAGTAAACAAGCCTGAAAAATTGCAAGGATTCATACTTTTTCCTGAAGAACTTGGTAGCAACCATCATCAGCGGTATGATTAATAGTTTTAAACTGACAGAGAGAGATTTACATTAGATATTAGGAAATTCTTCCCTGTGAGGGTGGTGAGGCCCTGGCACAGATTGCCCAGAGAAGCTGTGGCTGCCCCATCCCTGACAGTGTTCAAGGCCAGGTTGGACAGAGCTTGGAGCAACCTGGTCTAGTGGAAGGTGTCCCTGCCCATGGCAGGGCTTGTGGAACTAGATGAGCTTTAAGGTCCCTTCCAAACTCTTCTGTGATTAAGTATATATACTAATTACTACAACAACTTGTTAATGACTGGTGTGTTGATGACTGCAACAAAACATTTCTCATTTGGTGTGACTTCACAGTATCACAGTATCACAGTATGTTAGAGATTGGAAGGGACCTCAAAAGATCATCTAGTCCTATCCCCCTGCCAGAGCAGGAACACCTAGATAAGGTTACACAGGAACGTGTCCAGGCGGGTTTTGAATGTCTCCAGAGAAGGAGACTCCACAACCTCCCTGGGCAGCCTGTTCCAGTGTTCTGTCACCCTCACTGAGAAGAAGTTTCTTCTCAAGTTTAAGTGGAACCTCTTGTGTTCCAGTTTGTACCCATTGCCCCTTGTCCTATCATTGTTTGCCACTGAGAAGAGCCTGGCTCCATCCTTGTGACACTCCCCCTTTATATATTTATATACACTAATAAGGTCACCCCTCAATCTCCTCTTCTCCAAACTATAGAGACCCAGCTCCCTCAGTCTTTCCTTATAAGGGAGATGCTCCACTCCCTTAATCATCTTAGTTGCCCTGCGCTGGACTCTCTCCAGCAGGTCCCTGTCCTTCTTAAACTGAGGGGCCCAGAACTGGACACAATATTCCAGATGAGGTCTCACCAGGGCTGAGTAGAGGGAAAGGAGGACCTCTCTCGACCTACTAACCACCCCCCTTCTAATACACCCCAGGATGCCATTGGCCTTCTTGGCCACAAGGACACAGTGTCGGCTCATGGTCACCCTATCGTCCACTAGGACCCCCAGGTCCCTCTCCCCTACACTGCTCTCTAACAGGTCGTTCCCCAACCTATACTGGAACCTGGGGTTGTTCCTGCCCAGATGTAGGACTCTACACTTTCCCTTGTTATATTTCATCAAGTTATTCCCCGCCCAATTCTCCAGCCTGTCCAGGTCTCGCTGGATGGCAGCACAGCCTTCTGGCGTGTCGGCCACCCCTCCCAGCTTAGTGTCATCAGCAAACTTGCTGATAGACTTCATGTGATGCATAAGTTCTTTGGCAGAACTTCACCTGTTGTAACTTCATAGAAGTTAGGTAAATTGTAAATCCAGAGTAATCCAAGATAAATCGAAAGTAATGAAAATCAGAGCCTGATTTTGATGCTGTTTCTGTATAGCACAGCCCTAGCCTATCTGGCTGTTTTTAATTTAAAGTTGGAGTCTTGTAACAGAGATGCCTGTCTAATGGAGATGAAGGAGAAATAAATGAGCTGCTCTAAGTTGGCGAACATGCATGGTATTTATTGTAAATAAGGTGACTGCAAGTTACTTTCAATTCAGCTGCAGAGTATGCGATCATAATGTAGAATTGCTGGCAGTTTGGCTATTCTGCATTTGTCAGTTCTAGAAGCATAAGTGGTGTGAAGTTTTTCTTGAATTTGGCTGTTGCCAATGAGAGAGGTAACTAAGGGGAGTAGCTGAGGCTTACAGTAGTGGTGGGTTTCCATCTCCTTCCAGTAGTGACTTGGCTGTCTGGGTTCAGGCTTTTATTGCAGGACACAGGAACTGCTGCAAGATTTGTCAGGTTCCCTTTGGCTGACTGGCTTGTAGGTAAAGCCAGGAAGGCTTTTTCCTGTCATGAATGTGCATTCCAGCTTGGGATGCTCAGAGCCATCAGCTGTCCTAGCAAACAGATGGGGATTGTGAGTGTTTGTGGCCTGTCTGCAGTAGCCTGCCACTCACCTTGATACATAGACATGGTGCACACACCTCGGCTTCCCTCTGGCCCTGGTTGTTTGCCACCGCATGCTGATGCACAGCAGGATTTCACGCCATAAAGAGTGTTTGTGACAGGTCTTAATCATTGGCGGATAGTGCTGGAGGAAGTGCACTTAGCAGATGTGAAAATAACCCAGCGTAACTATTACTGTATGCC